CTTAAAACTTTAAGTAAAGTTTAGTAAATTAATTTTAGGGAACGTTGTGGAGTGAAAGAAGATGTAGTGTCAAGGATTGCGAAAGGTATATTGAGATGGCTTGGACATATAGAGAGGTTGAACGAAAGGAGATAGACAAAACAAGTACACAAGACGAGTGTGGATGGGAGAGTTGGAAGGGGTCGACCTCAGAAAATGTCCCTCAATCAGATTGAGGACGTTTTTAGCAAAGGCCAGCTTAGGAGTACCTAATTAAGTTAATAACAATGTACCTACCTATATAGTTTAAGTTTAAAAAATTTGGCTCTCAAAAGAAATTTCAATCATTGTACTGTTGATATTTGGCTCTGTTGACTAATGAGTTTGCCGACCACTGGCCTAGAGCATTCTGATAGGCCAAAGACTTCAGATTTTAAATCTATTCCAGAGGTTAGGGCATTCCATCAGAAGTGTTTAAGCAGAAAAAGTAGCCTAAATATAAGTTCTGAAACAATAAATTACATAGAATAAATATGTTACTAAACTTAAGGAGCTTGGTCATAGAGAGGATGTAATAAATCTGACCCCAAAGACAAGGGAAGTAAAGGTAACAATAAATGAATGGTACTATATCAAACTTAAAAAGCTTCCACACAGCAAAATAAACCACCAACATAACAAAAAGGCAACCAACTCAGTGGGAAAAGATATTTGCAAATAAAGCTCTGAGAATACCCAAAATATATTTAAAAAAAAAAACTCATACAATTCCACACCAAATAAACAAACAATCCAATTTAAAAGTGGGCAGAGGACCTGAACAAGTACTTCTCCCAAAAGACATACAAATGGCCTACAGATATATAAAAATATGCTCAATTTCACTATTTATTAGGGGAATGCAAATCAAAACTATAATGAGATACCACCTCATACCTGTTAGAATGTCTAGTAGCAACAAGACAAGAATTAACAGAAGTTGCTATAACTTAAAGAGGTTGCAGAGAAAAAGGAACCCTCATTCATTGATGGTGGGAATGTAAATGGGTACAGCCACTATGGAAAAGAGTATAGTGGTACCTCAAAAAATTAAAAATAGAGCTTCTGTATAACCCAGCAACCCCTTTTTGGGTATATACCCCAAAAATTTAACAAACATTTATTTGCAAAGATATATACACCTTTATGTTCATTGAAAAATTATTCATGTTGGCCAAGACCAAAGTGTCCTTCAACAGATGATTGGATAAAGAAGATATAGTATATATATACAATGGAATACTATTAAGCCATAAGAAAAGATGAAATACTGCTATTTCATCAATAAAATATATTTTTTAAAAAGATAAAGAAAAAGTGTCCAAATCAGATCCTTGTCATAGTAAGATAACTCTGGAAGCAGTGCAGAGGGTCTATTTAGGAAAGATCTTACCAAGTTACCAAGTTCAGACACACCTAAACAGACATATCCTAAAGGCAGGTTTGAATGGATGCTACTGAGCACCAGAAGAATATAGGATAAGGTTACATAGTAACCTGAAATTTTAACTTAACACATCAAGATATTTAAATGGTACCTTGGGGGGGGATTATAGTTCTCTAAATTTTATCCAATAAAATGTATTTATTAGAAGATCTGAAACAAAGGTCAGGTTTAGAAATAAATTACACATAAGTCCTATTTGGGAAATGAATGTACAGAAAGAGTAATTAAAACACCCCCAAAAATGGAATACCTATATGGATTATAAACCTATAATTTCTTAGTAGGGTAGGCAATCTTACCTGTTGTGTTGCATACCCATTAATAAGAATTATTTTAATCTAAAGTAAAATATTAAACTTATAAATTAAAGTAATCCCAACAGTTTGCATAAACCTTTTTCTTAGATTACTTTGAGAATAACAAGGTGATTACTATATACATAGGAAACATTTTTAACAATCATCATAAATAATTCTTATACTTAGATTTTAATGCACATGTGACATCAAGTCCCAGATACCTGTATATGAGGTAAAAAATACCACTACTAACCTTACTTGTCATCTCCCCTATAAACTTATGTCCTCCTTAAAAGAATGTATGTAAGTGTGTGTGTATATGTGCATTTAAATTTAGGTGTATGAAGTAAGAATAAAGCTATGCTTAACTTACAGGCATGCATCATTTTATTGTGCTTTGTCTTATTGGGCTTTGCAGATATTGTGTTTTTACAAATTGAAGGTTTGTGGCAACCCTGTGTTGAGCAAACCTATCGTAGTCATTTTTCAATAGCATTTGCTCACTTTGTGTCTATGTGTCATATTTTGGTAATTCTTACAATAGTTCAAACTTTATTAGTATTATTATCTTTGTTATGGTGATTTGTCATCAGTGATCTTCAATGTCACTATTGTAATTGTTTGTGGCATGACATAAGATGGCAAACTTAATAAGTAAATATTGTGTGTGTGTTCTGACTGCTCCACTGACTAGCCATTTCCTCTTCTCTCTTTCATTCTCTCCTTGGGCCTCCTTATTCCATGAGACATAACAATATTGAAATTAGGACAATTAATAACCATGCAATGGCCTCTAAGTGCACAAGTTAGAGGGAGAGTTGTACATCTCTTACTTATCAAAAGCTAGAAATGATTAAGTTCAGTAAGAAAGGCATGTCAAAAGCTGAGAAAGGCCAAAAACTATGCCTGCTGCACTGAACGATTAGCTAAGTTATGAATGCAAAGGAAAAGTTCTTGAGTAAAGTAAAAATGCTACTCCAGTGAACACATGAATGATAAAGAAGGAAAGCACCTTTATTGCTGATATAGAGAAAAGTTTAGTGATCTGGATAAAGCCACAACATTTTTTAAAGCTAAAAGTCTAATCCAGAGCAAGGCCCTAATTCTCTTTAATTCTATGAAGGGTGGGACAAGTGAGATAGTAGCAGAAGAAAAGCTTGAGGCAAGCAGAAGTTGGTTCATGAAGTTTACTAGTAAGAAAATAATCCACACCCATTACATAAAAGTGCAAAGTGAAGCAGCAAGTATTGGTGTAGAAGTTGCAACAAGTTATCTAGAAAATCTAGCTAAGATAATTAATGAAGGTGGCTACACTAAACAACATATTTCTCAATGTAGACAAAATAGCCTTATATTGGGAAAAAAATACCATCTAGGACTTTCATAGCTCAAAAGGAGAAGTCAATGCCTGGCTTCAAAGCTTCAAAGGACAGGCTGGCTCTCTTGTTAGGGGCTAATGCAGATGTTAACTGTAAGTTGAAGCCAATGCTCATTTATAATTTTGAAAATCCTAGGACCCTTAAAAGTCATGCTAATCTACTCTGCCTATGCTCTATATAAATCCATCAACAAAGCCTGGATGACAGCACATGGGTCTATAACATGGTTTACTGAATATATTAAGTCCACTGTTCATGCCTACTGTGCAGAATTTTTCTTTCAAAATATTGTTGCTCACTGAAATGCAGCTGGTCACCCAATAACTTTGATGGAGATGTATTCGATTCATGCTGTTTTCACACCTGTTAACACAATCTTTGTTTTGCAGTCCATGGACTAAGGAGTAATTTTGACTTTCAAATCTTCTAATTTAAAAAATACATTTCATAATTATAGCTGCCACAGATAGTGATTTCTCTAATGGGTCTTGGAAAACTCAATATAAAACTTTCTGGAAAAGATTCACCATTCTAGATGACATTAAGAACATCTTTGATTCATGGGAAGAGGTCTAAATATCAGCATTAACATGAATTTGGAAGAATTTGATTACAATCCTCATGAATGACTTTGAGGGGTTCAAGACTTTAGTGGAGTAAGTAGTTGCAGATGTGGTAGAAAAGGCAAGAAAAGTAGAATAGAAGTAAAGCCTGAAGATATGACTGAATCGATGCAATCTCATGAAAAAAAGAACTTTAATAAATGAGGAGTTGCTTCTTATGGATGAGCAAAGAAAGTGGTTTCTTGTGATGGAATCTACTCCTGGTGAAGATGCTATAAAGATTGTTGAAATAACAACAAAAGAATTAGAAATTGCATACACTTACTTGATAAAGCAGCAGTAGGTTTTGAGAGGATCAATTCCAATTTTGAAAGAAGTTCTACTGTGAGTAATACTATCAAAAAGCATCACATGCCAAGAAAAATTGTTTGTGAAAGAAAAGGTCACCCCGTGCATACAAAAATCACTGTTGTCTTATTTTAAGGAATTACCACAACCCCCAGCCTTCAGCACCCACCACCCAGATCAGGCAAAGCCAAAACAATGAGGCAAGACACTCCACCAGCAAAAAGATTAGAACTCACAGAAGGCTCAGAAGATGGGTGGCATTTTTTTTAACATAATGCTATTGCACACTTAATAGACTATAGTATAATGTAAACATAACATTTATATTCAATGGATATGGATAAAATTGTGTGACTCAGTTTATTGTGATATGAGCTTTGTTGCGGTGGTCGGAAACTAAACTCGCAGTGTCTCCGAGGTATGACTGTACTGTGCATTTTTACTAAAATGAGTCAATTATATTTTCTCTCTTGAGAATTACTAGGAATCAGATTTACTGATGTTTAACCAGTTTTATTGTCAAAACTTTGTAATTCCAGAAACCAACAAATTTAAGAAATAAGTCATGAAGTTTCTCTGTTTACAATCTAAATATTATAGATGAGTTCTGAAATATCTAACTTATACTTAGTACTTACTAGTACTACCGTCAACACAAATCTATGTGCTTTTTAATATACTAACTCATGTTTTTTATATCTTAATTCCATCAACTTTCTCATGAATTATATATTATTATAGACCTGTTTAAATGAGAGGAAATGAGGCACATAAATACAATATTAATATACATTGCAAAATGACCTTAGTTCAGAAATGGGTAAATTTGGTTAAATTAAACTTAGAAAATAAATGTGGTATCAAAAAGAAAATGTAAAGTGCATTTAATTTTTCATACTATTTTCAGCACATTAATTTTGATTTGGGGACCTTTTCCATTCTTTACCTTTAATCTCTTTGTCATTTTTGAACCATCTTATATCAGCTGCGGGTTTACTACCAGATGTTTTACAAGTCAGCTGCATCAAGTCTCCCTCCATAACTGGTGATGAAAATCCGCTAATTTGAGGCTTTTCAGGAACACCTGAAAAATAAACAAATGAAACATCAATCACCAGGGTTGGTTCATTCTTGTGACTATTATTTTTACAAACAAAAGTAAATTGGCAATAAGTTCATCAAGAATAATAAACAGCTATATAATAACATTAACTGCTTATGATATGTAGATACAGATACATGTATATGTATATGAGTATGTGTGTGTATATATACCTGAAAGCATTTATTCAGTTCAAAGTAGTTGTTTAAATTAAAATCTGCATGTAAAAATAAACTTTGTAAATCTTAAAGATAACCATTCAATATGTCTTAAAATTTGCCAGTATAGGGATTAAAGAATGAACATTGCTTTCATAGGAGAAAAATAATTTACAAAGCACATTTATTTATTCTTTACCAAATTATAATTTAACTAAAATAGCACCTTTCATCCCTGATTTCATAATTCTGAAAGCTTAAAAATGGTATTATCCTCTCTGTATTTTATTCAAGAAAAGGCATTTTGTCCAATAAAATGCATCAAAAATATTCATATGTAATTGCAACCATACTTACTTTTCTGATTCTTCTGTAGAAAATGTCTCTTGATGTCATTTGCATTAGAAATTCAATTGTAGTTTTGTGGAGCTTGATACGTGTTATTTTTAATGCTAACCACTATTGCCTTTTCTAGTCCAAATCATCAAATCAATAAGCAGATAACTGATATTCAGAGATAGCACATGGGTGGTTTAAATAATAGAACATTCCACATTTCTTGGGCATTAATATTCTGTTATCATGGTAAAGGTTTACTAAAATTTCTTCTAAAATTATTCAATAAGTAAGGCAGACTGAAAGTTCTTTATTGTCCTATTTAATTTAGTTATAAAAGAATAAAATGTAATCATGTTGGAAAGTACCAATAAGAGAAATACACATTTAAAGAATAACAACAAAGACAAATGACAGGTCATCATACTCCAATTAGCTGAATAGTTGTGTGTGTGTTTTTCCCACCTTCTTATTGGCTTTAAAAAAACAATCTATATCAGCCCACCATTTAATCAATTGAAATCAGCCAGTTGCTTATTCATGGTGTCTCAAGGTGGCTCTCTACAGGACAGTACATTAAACTTAGCAGTTGTTATCCTGAAATATTCCATTTTATGGTTATGTTGTGTCTTTAATGGCAAACTTTTAAAAATTTTGATAAAATAGTCTCAGTTTCTTATCCTATGTACAAAATCAATTCACTAGCTGAATTAACTTTTAATATTCCCACCCAAAAGAACAGCATGTGTTAGTTCCTTTAAATGCAATGTTAAGCCTTATGTATGAAAAAAGGAAGGCAAGCTAGGGACAAAAATATCCATCTTGAAATTCCTCTAACTTGTTCAGAACACAGGTGTGTTTCAATAAAGTGCAGCAATTTCAGCTGATTGGGCCACTGATGTTTGTGGAATCACAGAGAGCTCTGAGATGCAACTATATTTCCTCTGAATCTCTATGAATGCATTGCTTTTCTATGTCACTTTAACCTTTGGAAAAAATGGTTCAATATTTAGAGAAGTTACAAGCTGCATGCACAAGTGACATTATGCACTTCATTTAGTAATCTAGAAAACTACAGGTTTAAAAGGTGAGAAGATACCTGGAAATGTGAGGGTTATTTAAATGCACTGAAATACACAATGGGGTTAAATCTGAAAGCTATAACACATTAGAGAAGGCCATATTAAATGACTGATACGATAAAATGAAGGAGCACCCTATAAACTTATTAAACTCATTATGCTCATTATTCTATCACTTTATGAAAGGATCACCACATATACAATACATAGATGAGTTGCTACAAAGGAATTTAATTGAGAATCAAGAAACCTGGTGTCTACTGATGGCTAAGAAATTAAATGGGTACGTGCTTTTAGAAGTCATAGAAATCTTTATATCTCCCTTTGTCTATAAAATGGGAAGTGTGATTAAATGATTTTTAAATGCCTTTTGTTAAAATGTAGCAGAAATGAGATTAAACTACATCTATTATTATAATTCTCAAAATAGATATGTGTTGTAGTACTGACCTGTGTGGCTTAGTTGGTTGAGCATTGTCCCATGCACCAAAAATTTGCTGGTTTGATTCCCAGTTAGGGCACATGCCCAGGTTGCCAGCTTGGTCCCCAATAGGGGGCATGCAGGAGGTAACTGTAAGTGTTTGATGTTTCTCTGTCATATTGATGTTTTTCTCTCTTAAATCAAGTGTGTGTGTGTGTGTGTGTGTGTGTGTGTGTGTGTGTGTGTGTGTGTTTGAATCATGGTAATTTGCAAGTACACATCTCTCAGTCTTGTGAATGCATTGTGTTTGTTCCTTGAACTTACCCAGAACAGTGAGATAGGCCTTGGAAGTCTTGACAGGCATTGTAAATAAAGAACAGGTGTACTGTCCTTCATCGGAGAGAGACACATCACTGACGCTGATACTCAGTTCATGCCAAGAAGCCCGAACCAGCTCAATCCTATTGTCCCTTAAAGCTGAAAAGAGAAAGTATTAAAAATGTGAAATAGCAATATTAGAAAAAGTCAGTACTGTTATACTGAATATTTTCAGCATAACATAATACACAGTTCTTCGGCTGTACATCTAAATATTTACTGAAAGAGTTTACAGGACAGTTTAAATATATTATTTTATCATATTTTTAAAAATAAAGGTAGAATTAGGTGCTCCTTAAGGTTCTCAGAAATAACTTTTTTAATTAACTGATTGCATCTAATACATTACTTTGGATGAGGTAGATGATATTGATAAAAGTGGCTTTCCTCCACAAAGTCTTTCATGGGATGCTAATGCCAAGAAAAATTGTAAACAAAAGGACTCACTTCTATGGACAGATAAATTTGGGAAAACTATAGCTGCTGCATTTCTTCCAAGAAACTAACAGTGAACATTAGCATATTAAAAGCTCTCCACAGTACAGATACCTGTTGAAGTTCATTTAAACCAAAACTGACATTCAGCTGGAAAGCACCTGTAAGGTACCAGATGTTAAAATCTGTTCTAATTCATTGGTACCTCTGCTGTACTGTCTGTTAAATATTTTTATATATGCATTAGTTCAAACCACCATTCTGTTCCAAAACACGTGTTTTCACAGAAATCATACTTCTCTTTACTCCTTTTTTATTATTTTTATTTTATTTTCTTGTTTAAAGTATTATGAATAGTAGTACATATGTTCCCTTTTATTCCCCATTGACCTTCCCCCGGGCTCATTATATATCTCACTAAGTACAGCTATACAACCTGGAATTAAGCAAGAGGCACTGATGAATTACTCTAAAAGGTATAAAGAGAAAGGAGAACAGGTTAGGAACACCAGGCCCTAAGGAACAACATGGAGGCAAACAATAGTGAAAGACAATGGAGACCTGGCTTCTACCAACCACAACCTCGCAACAGAAACTAATTTTTAGTGCTGAGTAAATGGAAGCTCCAACAGCATCACAAGGGGAATCAAGTGGGAGCATCAGTGACAACAAGAGTCCACGGAAAGCGAACTATATCCCCAATGGGCTGAAGACTCCTTTCCCTACAAAGATAAAACAGCTGATTGGAAACAAGGGCAGTAGGGCAACCCCTCAAGTAACCAGCCTTAAATATGATCTCTCAGTAAGCTACAAAACTACTGACCCCACTTAGACCTACCAGGCAGCCTGGCCTGAGGGAGCAACTCTGCCCACTTAGGTGGCATCAGTAGACATCTGTGTAATTTCCAGTGGAACAAGACAACTCAAGCTGACCAAATAGAACTACCAAGGTTCTGACAAATTTGTGTAACCACGGCCCGCAAATGTACTCTAAGACCTGTGTGCTAAACCTAATTAGGATGACTGCCTCATAGAACCGGACATTTAAATAGAGTTGAGAATCTCCTAACTTAATAGCCAAAATGTCCAGAATATGATGATGATGATGATGATGATGATGATGATGATGATGATAAAACTCTCATCACACCAAATGCCCAAAAAATCATAATTTAAATAAGAAAACATAATCAACAGATGTCAACACTGAGTTGAAATATATATTGAAATTATCTAACCAAGAATCTAAAAAGCTATTTTATTAAAATAATATAACAAGTAATAAGTTTCTTCAAATATATTTTAAAAATATTAGCAAAGAAAAATAAGTTATAAAAATGAACCAAATGAGGGGGAAGAACCAAGATGGAGAAGTAGGTAAAATCCGTGCTTGCCACCTCCCACAACCACTTCAAAATTAGAACTAAAATACAGAATAACCATCATTCGGAACTGCCTGAAATCTGGCTGAACGGAAGTCCTAACTAAAGAATTTAAGAAGAAAGCACATTGAGACTGGGAGGAGGGGTAGAGGTATGGAATGGGCTGGTTTGACACCCATGTGTGGCATTTTTTTTTAATCGGGAGGGATATCTAGCTGCGAAGCCTCCCATGAGGAACAAGGGTTCCCAGCCCCCCACCATACCCCTAGCCCAGGGGTCTAGTGCTAGGAAGAGAAGTCCCTGTAACTTTGGGTTATTAAAAACCAGTGGGGATTATGGCTGGGGGACATGGAAACTGCTGGAGTTCTAGGTGTTCCTCTTAAAGGGCCAGTGCAGGGATGTACTCAGACTCACTCCCTCTGAACTCCAGCATTGGTTCAGTAGCTTGAGGGGATCCAGAAATATATGGGATAGATATGGATTGTCTGGCATTGGAGCAAGAACTGGGAGTGGCTTTCTCTTACACAGGGATGCTCACAGTGGTCATTGTTCCTATGCTGAGACCTCCCCTTTCACAGAGCTGATTGTCAGCAGCCATATCTGAGTCTCCATCAATCTGGCTTACACTATTCACTCCACCCTGGTGATTCCCTGAGACCACCCCCCCACACACACACCCAATTTGTAGCCTCACCCAAGCTGTTTGCAGAGTCTTTCCATATGAATGACCTGTCCTGACTCAGAGTTTAGACTTTCTTAAAATCTCTCAAACAAATAGCCCCATACCACCCAATAAGAGGTCCCAGGCCTGGAACTAGCAGAAGCCTGCATCGTTTCACAGCTTGGCCTCTCCTGGGCACTTTCAAGACCAACACAAGTAGTAGCCATCTGCAGATCACTCTGTAGCTCCTGACCAATGGCCCCTGGCAGAACATAGGCAGTAGCTGAATTTGCACCACCAGGGTGGCTCCAGAGTAAGTGCACCTGGTGGACAGTTTCAGACCACATCAGATTACGATTCTACACATCCACAAGCAACACATTCAAGGGGCAGACTCAGTGAGCACCAAAGCCCCACTGAAGCAAGTCCTGTTCCAGAGGGGTATCACCTACACAGCAGCTTTCCCACTGTAGTCACATCTGGTCCTCACAACCAAGTGGCACAGGATCAATTCCTCACAGTGACACCAACAGCAATCAAGGTTCAACTACAACAAGACAGTGCACACAGACTACACAGGTGACTGGGAAGGCTGAGCCACAGGGCCCTAAAGGACACCTACTACACAAGTAACTATCAAAGAGGATAAACCCAAAGATCAAATGTCTGAAATCCAGACAAATAAACAAGAATCTGGAAAGCAGCCAGAGATAAAGACATGTTACCTATAAGAGAACACCAATTCAAATGACAATAGATTTCTTATTTGAAATCATGGAGGGAAGAAGGAGTGGTGCATTTTTTTCAAAAGAACTGTCAGTGATGGATTTGTATCCAGTGAAACCAACCTGTAGGAAATAAATATAGTCTTAAAAGAAGGAAAACTAAGAATATATGTTTCCTGCAGATTTGTCTTAAAAAAATTTAAGAAAGTTTCTTTAAACTGAAAAGAAGAGGTCTTGGAGCATCAAAAAGGAAGAAAAAACTACTGAAAGAACAAAAATATTGGTAAATAAATATAATATTGACTGCCCTACTCCTGATTTTCTTTGTTATATACTGGTTGAAACAAATTATAACATCAATTATAACATCAATCAATGCTATGTTCAACATTTAGAGAAGGAATATTCAAGAGAAGTATAAAATGAGTAGAAAAAAGGTACCTAATGGAAGTAGATTTTCATACTGTACTCAAAATGGTAAAACATTGCTATTAGCAGGCTACAATAGTTCACATATGTATATTTCAGTACATGGAACAACTACTAAGAAAATATACAACGTGATGCACTCAAAAAATCTAAAAATAAATTGAGATGGAAGACATTTATATATTATCCTATCTAATAATAGACAAACATGGTAATTGACCATACCTTCGCTACACCTCCCATTGGCTAATCAGAGTGATATGCAAATTAACCGCCAACAAAGATGGCGGCTAATTTGCATACTGCAGGCAGGGTGGGACAGCGTGAGTGCGAGCCACCATCCAGGCCCCCATGTGCGACCCCAGAAGCCACCTGCCTGACGCCCGTGATCGGATCCGATCCCAGGCTGCAGGCCGGACCCAGAAGCCCCAGAAGCTGCCTGCCTGCCGCCCGTGATGGATCCAATCCCTGGTTGCAGGCTGGCCCCAGAAGCCCCAGAAGCCACCTGTATGGTAGTAACTCTATCAGTAACCACTCTGAAAGTCAGTGGCATAAATGCACCAATTAAAAGACAGATTATGAGGGTGAATCAAAAACAAAACCCACTTTAAATATAAAGACACATATAGATTAAAAGTAAATGAATTAAGCTGCAGCCTGTTTTGCTCAGTGGATACAGCATTAGCCCTTGCGCTGAAGGGTCCCAGGTTCGATTCCAGTCAAGGGCATGTACCTCAGTTGCTGGCTTGATCCCCAGTCCCTATCAGAGCATGTGCAGGAGGCAACCAATCAATGTGTCTCTCCCTTTCCCTTCACTCTCTCTAAAATTCAATGGAAAAATATCCTTGGGTGAAGATTAACAAAAACAAAGTAAATGGATTAAGTAACATTAAAGAGATTATAAGAAAAATATATTCCAAATTTTGTTAGTTGTATAATGGTTATGTTTAAATTATTAACACCTAAGAAATTGGGTGAAGGGTACATATAATATGCTGTAGTATTTCATAGGTTTTTTTTACATGTATGAGATTATTTCAAATTAAAATATTAAAAAATTAAAAATTAATAAAATATTAATTGAAATGTATCTGCATTACATGAAAAATCTCCTAATTGCTTCTAGCATAATTTATTAAATTGTGCTAAAATTTACAAGGGTTCAATTAAAAAATATCTTAATTCTAAATGATATAATAGAAAATATATAATAGTGCAGTTATAAGCACTTATCTGAAAATAAAAATTTAAAGAAGTGAATTTAAAGAAGGGATTAGCCAAAGAAAATATATGCACAACCCATGGACACAGACAACAGTATGGTGATGGCCAGAGAGAAGTGGGGGGCAAGAGCTGGGTAGAGGGGGCAAAAGGGGGGAAATAGGGACATCCTATATAATAATAATAAAAGGCTAATATGCAAATTGACTGAATGGCAGAATGACCAGTTGCTATGATGCACACTGG